GGGGGGGGAGGACAGGGGTGATCGGCGCATGGATGGTTGAGAATAGCGCGTCGAACAGTCCCACTGTGGGAATTCGTTTGGGATGCGCAGCCATCTCGAGCTGCAAGGAGGGCATCGGCCGACTGCGACTCGGCCCGTGCTGCGGGCTCGGACGGGCTGCAGAGGAGCCCGAGGCAGTGGGAGGTGAAGAAAAGAGCAATGGCCTGAGCCCAGCCTGACCCCGTGTCATCGTTGCGGCCACGCCCGGACGCGCGACCCCCCCCACCCGCAATCTTGGAGGGGTCGACCTCGAAGATCAGCGCCTTGGACTGGTCCTGGTTGAGGAGTCCGAGGCGCACGCCCATCTTGATGTTGGTGGTCTTCAGCAGCATGCGGTGGGCCCCCTGGTCGGGTTGGGCGGGTTGTGTTCACAGGATTGAAAGTTGTCAGCTGCAAGCGGCGGGGTTGCAATACATTTGACTGTAATGACCTCCATCAGAAGGTGAGTAATCACACGAGGATAGGAATAGGCAAGTCCGAGAGCTGTGGTGTATGTGAGCGTGCTCGCATGTTTGGGTGCGTGCATGTGTGTATGTGTGTGCAGGCGCGTGCGTGCACGCACACATGTGGTGTGGGTGTGAGAGCGGTTGCTGAGGATACACGGTTTGTGTGAGTCATCGCGCATGCAGAGGCGACGCAGCGGAGGCAGCGCGGCAGAGGCGACGCAGCAGAAATGTGGCCGTGGGCAGTAGCGGCGCCTACCAGCGACACGTCACAGCCAGCCCTGCTAGGCATCGAAACCCTGCGCCCCCGCGAGGGCCAGTGCGCTTGGTGCAGCTGGACAGCCGCCTGCTACCGGGTCAAGTGCCCTCTGGCTGTGTCCGTGACGGTGCTGAGTCAGCCATTGGGCCCTTGCGCCCCCAGTGCCATCCCTGACCGCCCGTCAGCGCGACAGCGGACCCACACAAGTGCCCCGAAGAGCCCCTTGCAACCTGCTCTGTTGTTTAGACCCTCCCAAGGGTGCCATGACGTCCCGCCCTGAATATACACAACAACCCATTCACGGTTGCCCTTGCTTATCCATGCACGCATGAATGCATTCTGAGCACCGGAGGCCCACCCACACATGCCCACCAACACGCTCAGCGCCAACAAAGTGGTCCTTTTCAACACACATACACACAACACACACACACACATAAGCAAGCACATGCGTGCTTACACACACTCACACATTCACGCACACGTCATACGCAGAAGCATGCAGGCACACTCACATGTGCCCACACACACACGCACACACACACACGCACACACACACACCTGCAGCAGCAGCGCCACCAGTGCCAGGTAGTCGCTGGTGCCGTCCAGCACACGCACCAGGTGGCACAGGTGGGACACCTTTGAGGGGGGGGGGCAAGGTTGCGCGGAAGCGCATGCGGGAGACACATCAATCCTACAAGCAACCCCAAAAAGCAGGATTTACCAGTTCAGTCAAGACAACAAATAGGTGACAGGGCACCTCTCGCGCTTGGGAAACCCGAGGATGGCGACGCGTGCACGCCCAAAAGCACATCAGGCGTCGCTGTTCACGGCGCGCTGGTGTGGCGGGCGCACCTGGTCGTTGCGCAGGTGCGGCAGCAGCCCAACGGAGAGCACGCCCAGCATCGGCTCCCACCTGCGGGACGGCGCGGGACGACGAGCGCTCGCTCAGCACCAAGCAAGCGCAGCAATAGGGCCACGCCCCCGCTCCCGCGGCGCTGCCTCCAAACCGCGGGCAGCCGCAGCCACAGCCGCAGCCATGCCGGTCCGTGCTGCGGCAGGCATCTGTGGCTCCGGCATGCGCGTGCATGCATGCATACAGCTGCGAACGCTGCCTCAGCCGCGCAGCTGCGGCTGCAGGCCGCTGGTCCAATTGCTGTGGGGCGTGGTGTTTGCACGGTCTGTCCAGATCGCGCACCATTCGTCGTCGAATGCGTGCGCCTCCTGCTTGGCCACGGTCAGCAGCCCCAGCGTCTCATTAGTCGTGCCGATCGGCACCGCCAAGAAGCTGCGCAGCCCGTGCGTGTGGTACAGCACCGCCCAGTCCTTCGGCAGCGCCAGCGCCTGGCGGCCGAGGCCGGGCGGGGCGCGGCGCGTGGGTGGAAGTGGGGTGGGGACGGCCACGGCGTGCAGGGTTCAAGGGCTGATTTTAGATGGCGCCAACCGCGCCGCGCGACGCTGCGTCGCATCGACTGTGCACCTCGCACCCCGCTCAACCACAGGGCGCACGGAAGGGCGGCCGCTGGCGGGCTGCGCGGTCACGTCCCTCGGGCCCTGGCAGGCTGCGGCGCTGGGCCCGCCCCTGCGCCGCGCCGCGCCGCCTGCCGCCCGCCGCCCGCCTCAGGCCCGGAGGTTATCAGCTACCGCCCGCGCCCAGCCGCACACAGACGCCCCCGGCGCGGCGCCGCGCCCGTTGGACTTCCCCCCGGCAGAGCCACACCTGGTCGTCATCCTCTGCTGTGAGGTGCAGGTGCGCGGTGCGCCCCTCCAGCTGGAAGGGGCTCCAGTCCGCCCCCTTCATCACCACGTCCCGCTCCAGCTCGGCCGCGCCCGTGCCGTGCGCCGCCAGCAGGATGTAGGATGCCAGCCCCTCGGTCGAGCCGATGATGCTGTGGGGTGTGGGGAGTGGGGTGGGGGCGCACGGCGGAGCGGGGTCGGGCGAGGGCTGAGGGGAGGAGGGGGTCCGTGGCGGGGGGCAGCTGGCGGCACGTGGGGGCCCAACGCGCTGCGGCGCGACCACAGGAGTGTTCCAAGCCGGGGGACTGCAGCCGGCGGGGCTGCTTGCTGCGGCTGGGAGCCTGGGCGCTCCCACAGAAGGCCGAGCGGTTGCGGGTACATATATGCGCATGCGCACAGGGCGCGGCGCCACGTGTGCACCTGACGAGGGCAACCCCCAGGTGGGTGCACAGCAGCTCCGCCGCCTCCGCCAGGCCGATGGTGGGGTTGACGTTCACTGCCGTCAGCTGCTGCAGCACGTCCTTGACCTGCGCGGCGGCCCGGCGCACGGGCGGGCTTGGCCAGGGGCCAAGGGCCACGGCGGCGCTCGCACAGCCAGCGGTGCACGGTGACGCAGCGCCGCGGGCAGCGCCGGCTGATGCCCGAGGCCGGCGCGCGGCACCAAGCGCCCTACAAACGACGCCACGCGACCTCAGCATACGGATGGATTTCATTTCGCCCGTCAGTGCCCACCTCGGCAAGGTTCACGGGTCTCGAGCGTCTCGTTTCGCTGCTCGCCCCACTGGCGGTCCTCGCCCCTTGGCCGTCCCAAGGCTGCGTGCCCGCCGGAAGCAACTGTACGCTGGGACCGCCCACTGGCAGCAGCTGCACGCCTTGAGCCCCCGATCCAGAGCCTGCGGGCGTGGAGGACCCTCCATGTCCGGTGCTCTGTCCGCTGGCTGGCTGTTGGCGAGGCTGTGGCGCAGATCCTCCGTCAGATAATCTCTTTTCTTTCTCTGGGGTGGGCCCGGGCGTCCCTTGCCCTGTGAACCGCTGCTTCAGAAGCTTTAGCCCGTGCATCGCTGCATGCTCTCTGCCAATAACGCACAACTCTTAACGTCAACATACACGGGAATTGAAGGCTGGACCAGATCACATCTTGTCACCCGGGTGCGATTCACAGCAAGCCGAGCGGTCTCTTCGGTCACACGCCCCACAAGAAAACATCTGGACACACCTGGTGAGAAGGAATCCCGCACAATGTATCGTAACTGCTCACAGTTCTCTGACTAGTGGTCTAGAGCGGACGTTCACTGCCAGGGCCATCGTTTTGTTTTAGTGCGTTTCTGGTGGAGCGCCTCCCATTTATCGGCAGGAAAGGGCCAGGCCTTGTACATCTAGTGCGCTATGGCTTGCACCGCTCCTGGGAACTCGCAGCGGCTTGGCGGCCTGCTGCTGAGGGCCCTGCCAGTGCTGCTGCAGCAGCATGCAGCGGGTGCCGCTGCGTCACCGCACCAAGCCCTTTGCCTGCGGCTGCTCAGCAGCGAGGCCGCCAGCACAAGCGGCCACCAGCAGCAGCAGCACCAGCAGCACCGGCAGGCAGCCGGCGTGCCTTCGGGGGGCACGCAGGCGCAGCAGCAGCAGCCACAGCAGGACGCAACCGCGGGGGAGACGCTCGAGCAGATCCGCGCGCGCGTGTTCGACACCACCATCGGCGACGGGCGGCGATCTGGGCGCAAGGCGCTGATGCGGCCCCTCAAGGGCAAGGAGATCTTGGACTGGTACTTCATGCTGCGGGGGCAGGAGGCGCCCCTGTTTGAGAACGACATCGAAACAGAGTGAGCGGTGGGCCGTGGTGGGGCGGGCAGGGCGCGGAGGACTCGGTCGATCTGCAGGCCGTGTGTGTGTGTGTGTGTGTGTTTTTGCATGTGCATATGTCTGGTTGCGTGTGAACCTGCATCTGCAGCACGGAACGCGTTGCCGCTTTGGTACGGCATCACATCTCTCAAGAGGGCTGGCACCCAGGGGAGCTGGAGAAATGGTTGATGCGAACCACCCTTGCTTTTCCAGAGTCGCTGCTCCACACCCGCCTGCTGCGCTCTCCATCCTCCTTGCGCTGGCCTTCCCCTCGCTGACGGCTGTTATGTTGAACCCTTCCCTATGTGCCCAGGCGCCTGGACCGAGTTGCGCGAGACAAGGCCACCGGCCGCGCTCCTCCAAAGAAGGGGCAGAAGAAGAGGTCTGGCAAGAAGTGACAAACGCTGTTGCCCGCACCCTTCTGTGCAGCTGTAAACTATGTTCACACCAAGTCGGATTCTTCACATGTTGCGCAGCCGCCGCGGTTGTGGTGCAGGGTTTCAAGCTGGCGGCCTAAGCACCAGGGCCTCAAAAGTGCAGAGGAAGATGGCTGCCGCTCGCGAGCACGCACGTCACCGGCCGCCGTCTGCGTCACTCTCGCCGCCAGACAATGCCAGGCCCCACCCCTCCGCAGCCGCATCGCTTGCAGCCCAGCAGCGGCGACGGGCGTCGCCGCCCTCGCCCTCCTCGTCCCCGCCCCCGCCGCCGCCCCTGTCGCCGCCAAACCCGCCGCAGCTGGGCGCCTCGAACTGCCTGAACAGCCGGTCTGCGAGCTGGTGCATGGCCTGCAGCTGCTCGTCCAGGCTGCGAGCGTCGGTGTAGGCCAGGCCGCAAGCGCCCGGCAGGTCGAGCGCGCTCTGGTAGCTGCCGCCCATCTGCAAATGAGTCGAGGCAGAGCGACGACGAGCGCGGCACATCAGCCAGCTTTATGAGTCAAGGGGTCAGCTGCGGCAAGGCTTTTGTTGGTAGTCCAAACCGATGTCTTGGGAGCCGAAGCCTCGCCTTGTCCTGCCCGAGGTGTGTCTCCGCCCCACGCCCGCGGCGCGCGGCATCTCTTGGGCACATACAGCGCACGCAGCACAGCCAGCCAATGTGTTGCTGGCAAAACGGCGAGGCAATGCGCATGCCCCACCTTGCTCACGACGGTCTGGTCCACCAGCAGCACCGCCAGCATCGCGTCGGGCGCCTCCTGGGCCTCGTCGCCGCCCCTGAGCGCCGCGGACGCGCGCGCGAGGCGCGCTAGCGACCCGAGCAGCTCGGCTTGGGGGCCCGGCAGCTGCGTGGACTGCCGCAGGACGCGGGCGTACTGCAGCGCAGAGGGGACCAAGGATGTGGCTGGGGTGAATATCAAATTACAAAGGCAGCAGTGCTCAGGCAACCTGATCCTGAGGTTGATGTTATGCATGCGTTGTGCAGGTCAGGTTATTCACTTCGGCGGCTTTTTGGCAGTCGCACCTGAGACAAGAAACCGTGCGCGCCTGCGCCGAGCGCTGGCGGCGGGCGGCCAGACGCGCACGCCATCACGTGCTGGAGCAGCGCCGCGGCCCTGAGAGGGTCCATGCTGGGCTTTGCCCCGCCCCACAGCAGCTGGGCTGCGACATGGGCGATGGCACCGAATGGGTCAGGGTGGATAAATCTAGGACACACAGGCGTTCGAGTAATATGCAGCCGCTTCCTTTGCGGAGCAGCAAAGCACACCAGAGTAATGCAGCTGTGCCGGCTTTTTGGATGAAGGGCAGGCAGGCAGCACCCTACTCACACTCGTCTGAGCCGTCCGACAGGACCACATCAAAGCCTGAGCAGCTGACGGTGGGCTTGGCCCAGCGCTTGCCGACCGAGGCCCCGCACGCGCTGGGATCTGCAGGGATGAGGTCCGACTGCCCGCACGCCGCCCACACAGTGGCGGTCTGGGGCACCACTAGGCCGGGCGCCCCAGCGGCGCCCACGGCCTGGGGGTTGCGTGAGGTTGTTCAGTGCATCAGGCGTGCGTGGGAAAGCAGGCGGCTTTCGTATGAGCATATCTACGTGCTTCATTCTGGCCCTCTGTGTAAACGGCGCCTGTGCGCTTGTGCCCTTGCGCAGCCCTGCAGCGTCATCAGGAATCATCAGCCGCCGCCGACCTCCACCGCCCAGCAGCCACGCACCGCCCTCTGCAGCACGTCCGCCAGCTGTTTGCGAGACTTTGCCGCAAGGGCGTCCATGTCGACGACCGCCACCCCCGTGTTGGCGCTGCCCAGGGCGCTGCAGAACGCGGAGTAGGCGCCGTCGCGGCCCTGCACCACCGTCGGGAGCACTTGCTCGGCGTGGCCGAGCGGCAGGCAGCACACCTGCCGCAGCGAATGCGGGATCAGACGAGAGGAGGGCTAGCGTAAAATGTTGGGCGGCAACAGACGTACTAAACACACAGAAGAATGCTGCTAGAGTAGCCGCACAGCAGGCAAAGAGTGACACCAATAGGATGTAATGTGTTTATAGATGCAGGGCTGGCGGCTGACCTGCGGGCTGAGCAGCTGCGCGGCTCCTTTCAGCATCCGCAGCGTCTGGGGTGCACCGTCCTCTTGCAGTAGCAGCACGTTGATCTGCAGGGGTGCGTCATGTGGGGTGAACACAGGCCTTGATGGCGCGTACCGTGGCTGGGTGTTACTGTGCATGGTTGAGGAATATCTAATTAGTGGCCGCTGCGATGCTGCTGCATGCAACAAGCGCACGTCAGGAGTGGTTTGATGACGAGTACGTGCGGCCTTCATGACGCAGGGCGTAAATCCTTCACACCACGCACAGCTCAGCTGCCCACCTGATGTCTGCCCTGCCCGCCTAGCAGCTGCTGCGGCCCTAGCCCCACCCCTTCCGCGGCGCCGCCGTAATCACCCGCATATCGCGCACCCGCCCCTGCCGCGCATGCTGCTGCGGACGTGAGCAGTGTCAGGGCCACATGAGGGTCGAATTCAAATCGCATGGCTGCATTGAGCATCTCAACCAGCGCTGCCAGCGGGCCATGCGTGGCCTCCGCGGCCGCCTCAAGGCCCGATGCCTCTGGTCCGAAGAGGCGCCAGCGCTGGTGGGGCGCTGTCAAAGCCATGGACCTGGCCTCTACCTGTTGCAGGGACGACAAGGGTTGGGGCGGTCAGCGGGTGGGTCAGAATGTTAACGCGACTGAACCACACAGTTTGGTTATGATACACAGGTGGGTGCGAAGGTGACCAAGCCTGCCATACACATTGGGTGTCCATCACAGCTCTCAAGTGACACCGCACAGTGTACCCCTGTTCCCCCTACCCCAAACTTGGCCCCACCTCAATGCCTGTCTTGGCCATTGGCTGCACGCCTGCACCTGCATTACCACCGCCGCCGCTGCTGCCCGCTGCCCGCTGTGAAGCGAAGCCCACCACGTGCACCGCCTGCCCCAAGGCACAACAGTCCGCCAGGTCGTCCTCGGCCGACACAACCAGCGGCTCGGACGAGACGCCAAAAACCGGCGGCGGCGGTGGCGCAGTCGCGCAACCGGCAGCCGAGGGGGGGCAGGTGCGCAGGTCGGACACCCAAAGCCGCTGGACACGGGAGACCACTCTGTGCGCAAGGCGTGTTAAAGGATCTTGGGATCGTACGTTTTCACATTGGCTGCTTGGGACACGCATGGATTCTCAAGCTGCAAAACGAGCACCGAGGTCCCTGGTCATTCCTGCTTGCTTCGACTCACCAACCGCCCTGGCAAAAATTTTAGCCCCACCACACCTGTTGGTGACATCCTCCTCTGCCGCTGCCACGTTGCTGCCGCAGCAGAGCATGCTCCTGGAACCGTCCGGAACGTCGCTTGCTGCGGCGCAGAAAGGGCAGGTGAGGCGGCGGCTGACGACACGCTGGCCGGGGCTGGCGACGCCGCTGACAACGCCGGCGAAAGATACCAACAGGGGGCCCCCATGGTGGATCACCAAGCTGGCAGCCTCGCTAGGTGCCAGCAGCGGCATGGGCACCTGGAGGTGGCATAAAAGCATGCACGGATGCGCAGGTGTGCATGTCAAGAGGTTCACGCCATGCGAGGTGCATGGCACTCAGCTGGTGCATGCATGTACCCTGCATGCACGCATGCTGCGGCCCGTTGCATGGCGCCTGCTGTACCCGCGTCTACTGCTGCAGATGCATGCTTCAGCTTTGTTGGGCGTGAGCATTTACGTTTGTGAGCCTGAGGGCGAGGCGCGGCACGGCGTGCTCAAACCCGCTGGCGTCCAGCCGCCGCTGCACCAGCGCCCGAAGGTCCTGGGGCAGGGCGCCTGTGTGCAGTGTTTGCGGGAGGTGCATCCAGCGTGAGATGCTGGCATGCAAATACCGGTGCGCCGTCCCAGGATTGCATGCATGTGCGTTTGCATTGCACTTTGAGGAGCTAAGCGTCTGTGAGGCCAGCACAAGGCTGCTGGAGCGTCGCCGCCGCGCTCACGCCTGGGGTGCGGTACTGTTCCAAGCATGGGTCTAGGGGCCAAGTCAGGAGCCTGTATCTGCATGCGTGTCTGCAGCCCACCTGCTGCATCTTGAATGATGGCCAAGCCCAGGCCCGGGCTTTCGGCAAGTACCATGGAAACATCGACCTGTTAGTCCATTGGTGCATTCAAACGTGCCACAGCGGCGCGGATGGGCTGGGTCGGGTGCGCGGCAGTGTGGCGGGGTGGGGCTCTGCGCTTTCAGCTGAGTATTCACATGACACTGATTGTGGTGATTGTCAGAGGCAGGCAGCGTTTGTCCCTCCAGCGTGCCTCGATTGGGACGGAGTCGTCAGGCCCATGGTCGGCGGCAACTGCGATCTGTGCGAGCCCCTGCGCCAGCAGCTCTCCACCCAGCACGGGCAGAAGCCGTTCTGCCATGGTCTCGTGCATCTTGGATCTTTGCCAGGTTGATCGTGATCCATATATATCCGCACGCCCGGCAACACACGGTATCTTATGACACACTACGATGGACGAATGATGATGAGAGCAATTTTTTTTATGCGGCATACATAATGCTGCAAGTGCTGTCAATTCAGGTTGCCCTTTTATGCATGCGACACTGCCATGAGAGTGTCGGCTTGCCGCCGCTTGCAAGGCCTGTCTCTTGTTGTCGCAGCACGTCTACAATACCATGTTGTAGCACGTCTACAATACCATGTACACAGCTGGTGGATTGGGTGAGGCCAACACTGTCGTCAACGCCTTGCTCTCCAGGTTGACTGCCAGTGATGTCCTGCAGTCCACTGTTGAGTGGACTCCTTGGTCTGCCTCCATTGACATCACAGCTTTGCCAGCACCATAGTGCGAAGTCATGGTGCACCAGGGTATGCCCTGCATGTACGCAACTTCAGACGTGAAGCATCCTGCTTGTGCGCACACCTGGAGGCGCAGCAGCAGCTTGAGCCGCCCTGCATGCTGCATCGTCAGCGCAAGACAGTTGGGCCAAACGGAGAGCCATGGACTCTCATTGACAGAGTCCAGCTTGTCGATTTGCGTACCTGTACCTCGGCAAGTTCGCGTCCCTCAAAATCAAGCGTGATACGCGTGACTGCCTTGAACCACATGCGAAGCAGTTGGGAGCTGCATGTGCAGCAACAGTCCCATGTTGACAAGGGAGTGCAGCACTCGACATCGATGTTCCCTGCACACAACGCTTTGGATGTTGATTTCCGACGCATCACCATTGCAAGGCAGGGCGCATTCCAGGTCCAGATCGAAAGGATCGATACGACGGGCAACTCAGCAAGTGAGCATCTCTACGACACGAAAAGTGTGTCTACCGCCGGAACATTGCAGGGATCATGATTTGCTTGTTGAGAACGGCTGGTGCCGACGGTGATTACATTGCGATGACCAGCCGCTGCATGTCCGCCACAGCACAACGGTGCCGTGCTCTGCTGCCTCCATGCCTGCTCAGCCACAGTCACCAGCCGCCACCCCTTGTGTGCATCTCTGCTGTCCTTCCAAACCCGCGCTCCAGCGCAACCATGCTGACGAACCAGCAATGTGAGAACTTGGTGCTGAAGCAGCACGCAAGGGCTGCTGCTGGCTTCACACTGCCTGGGATATGGCAGCAGATCCGCCAGGCCGGCTCGCCTGTGCGCACGAGCTCCCGAGTGACGACCCCAAGCCAAGAAAGGTGTGCGGTCATCTGGACGTCCTGCAGGCGCCATGCGTGTGCCGGCGCTTCCAGTAGTGCCCCGCGCCCTGCCCTCGACGCTCACAATCTCATGTGTTACTTGACTGTCCCCCATATGCGCACCGTGTCACCCCCAACCCCCGACCAGCACTGGGCTTCTGCACAACTGTGCAGAGCTGCCTTGGAGCGTCTTCGACGCCGCCGACGCCGCTGCGTTCCTTGCTAACCCAAACGCCGCCACCGACATTGCCGAGGAACTCCGGGTCGCCACCTTCTTTGCGGGCATGATCATGAGTCAGACGCCGTTCGCAGCTTCCGGGCAGCTGCTCATCTGGCCCTGCACGGCCTGCAACACCGCAGTCCAGGCCGGCCACGCCGCCGGGGGCCACGGCGGCCCCCTGCCGCCGTCCGCGCCGCGCGCGTGGGGCACCGTGCACCAGGCGCTGCACTGGGCAGTGCTGGTCATGGGGTTTGTGCGCAGCATGCTGACCTGGCGCCACCCGGCGCTCGCGGCGCACCAGGAGTCGCTGTACGACGCGCTGGTCTCCCAGATGCCAGCTCAGCCCGCCGAGTACGTGCAGCGGATGGTGCAGCACGGCTTGGCAACGGGTAGGAACCAAGCCTGCGGGAACGCGCGGGCTGCATGTGCCGTGTGTGTTTCGGTAGCGACGGCGCTGTTGCGGGATATTCTGCGCTGCACTGTGGCGTTGCATTTTCTCAAAAGCGCTCGCATGCCGCATCTGCATCCCGTCAGCCGGCTGCATGCAACCAGGTGGGTGTGCATGTGCATGCCTGCCACCGCCCTCGAGCCATCCACATGCACCACACCATCCCCAGCAGCACTTGACCCTGAATCCGCAGCATCATGCAACACCCCAATCCTCCCCGCCTCGCGCGCAGGCCAGATGTTCCACGGCCTGCTCTTCCCAAACCTGGTGGGCGTGGTCGACAATTGCGGCCAAGCCGCGCCCAAGGCCGCGCACTTCGCGGTCCAGATCATGAGCCTGCTGGCCTGCCGCCGCCCCGCCGCAATGCTGGGGACGCTGGACCCGCAGCCCCTCTCGGAGGCCCTGGTCAAATACCTCGCAAGCGTGTTTGACCTGGTGAGCAATGGGGTGGGGCAGAGCTCCTCATCGCGCCCTGCGCCCCGCTTGCAGCGTTTCGCAGTGCCGGGGATGGAGTGGGATTGCTCGCCCTGGTTGTTGCTGCTCGACCCCCGCCTTGATTTGTGTGGGTCGCGTGGACGTGCCTGTTATTTGCACATCGCAGTGCCTCGCACACCATCAGCTGCAGCTCTGGTGACGAGAGAGCAACGCCCCGGCCCTGACTTGATTGCAAGAAGGCAGGGGGTCGAGGTCGTGCTTGCAGCCGAGGTAGCCCAGCAGGCGCTGCAGTAGTTGCCCAGCACGCGCCCCTTGCACTGCTGGTGGGGAGCGAGGCGCAATACTTGCAAGGCTCCCATTGCGCAGGTGTCCAACCCTTGCTGCGCCGTGGAGAACTACTTTGGCGTTGCTGACGTCATCAACGCGCTGCCGCTGCTGTACCACGCGGGCGACTGGTGGGTGCGCAAGGGCAGCACGGCGTCCGGCGGTGCGTATTGCCTGCCCCATGACGTGGCCTGGACGACCCCGCTGACCAGCGAGGTGCAGGGCGCCTTGCCTGAAGGCCCGGTGCCCACGGACCGGATAGGATAGCTGCCGCAGTCGCCTCTGGCGCACGGCAGCCTGCACTTGCCCGCCGCCGCTGCTGCCTTCCCGTGTCTCCCTTCCGTTGGCCGTTGCGGGCGGCGGGCTGCTGCTTTTGTGGGATGCTGTGCACAATGCGGCCTGGGACCCAATGCATGGGGATTTTAACTTATCGTTATCTAAGACACGGGGAGGGGCGCACTTGCACATTGGGATGAGCGAACAGTGCACACCACCGTGCAGCTGATCAAGCCCATCCCATCCGTGCGCCGCAGGCCCGAGGCCGCGAAGTTCCTAGTGAAGTACAAACTGCCGGCCGCGCTGAGCGCGCTGTCCATCAACCTGCTGCACACCGCCGCGCCCCCCCAAGGGGTCCGCCGGGGCGAGCGCGACGGGCGCCCCTTGGACAGCCCTGTCGATCTGAAGCTGTTCCCTGAGTGCCGCAACGTGATAGTGGCGGTATCCGAGCTTTTTGAGCGCAGCATCCCTCCGCCGCCTCCGCCGAACGCCGCGTCGGCGCCCTCGCCTGGCGCGGCCGCGCCTCTCGGCGGCGGCAGCGGCAGCGGCGGCGGCAGCGGCGACTCGAGGGCCGGGGGCGCGGCTGCGGCCGGTGGTGGTACGCCGGGCGCTAGCAGCAGCGGCGTGGCACAGGAAACCGGTCGTGCGGCGGCGGCCGGGGGCGGGGGCGCCGCAGGCGGCGGCGGGGCGGACGGGGACGCGGCTGGGCTGGCGGCGGCGCTGCGCGCGCGGCCGGTGTCGTTTGCCGCGGCCGCAGTTGCGGAGGTGCTGGGGCGCTGGCAGTGGCGTGGGGTGCCCTGCTCAAAGGTGGGTGCGCCTGTTTGTCCGTGTGCAGCATGCGCTGCCAAACGGCGTGCATTTGCCCGTCCTTGCTAGTGAGTGCATGCATGTGAGTGATTTCTTGCGGAGCGTCAGCTAAATGACGTTGGCGCCCCTGCGCGTGTTTAGTTGCCTGTGAAGGGCAGCTGGCGTTTGAAATTGGCGGCTGACAGATGGTTCTGTCGATGTCGGTGCAGGCGACTGCCCCGGCCACTCCGCCTGCTGACAAGGCGAGGCGCATGACTCGGCGGCAGATTCAGGAATACGAGGAGTCAGTGAGTCAAACGTACCAGGTGCGGTCTAAGGATGTCACTCGTTGACTGCACTGCTGCCGGCTAACGCGATGCTGACTGGCCGCACCGCTGCTCGTTACCACGGTGCCGCCTGCCTTCTCTGTCACTACTCATCACGCAGCTGCCTGACCGCCCTGCTGTCAACCTACCACCCGCTTGCTGAGGTGCTTGCACTTTTCAAAAGCTGATGCATAGGGGGCATGGGGTCCCTCTTTGATCAATGATTGATCAGATAAGCAGCACCCCCAGCGAAGGAGTTGCAGCAGGCCCCAACCTACTTTTCGTCCAACGCTGTCAACAACAGGAGTACATGCCGTCCTGGAAGCACGCCCTAGCGGCATCGCCGGCGCTCTTGTCAGTGAAAATGCAGGAACCAGTGCGAAAAGAGGCAGGGGCTCAGTGGGTGTCGGGCAGCAGAACGTCGTTGCAAGGAGGGGCGAGTGAAGGCAGGGGTGGCCACAGGCGCAGGGCCGGGTCGATGGGCTGACAGGGCTTGCGGGCACACCTCCTTGACACGCTGTACGTGTCATACCCTCCTCCAGCCACCTGGCCTTATGAGACATTATCATCATTGCATACACTGACCTGCACTACTTGATAGAGCGACCGCCCCTGCGTGGTGTGCCGGTGTCAGCCAGGTCGACGGCCAGCTAGCTCCCCTGTCGCCACGCCGGCTGCTCACGCCCCGCTGCCCCCTCACCCACTCAGGTGCGTCGAGCCGATAGTGGCGGCGCTCGCAGCCGACACCCGGCCCCCGCTGCCGGAGCTGCACGCCTCGCTGCTGCGCGGGCCCCTCCACCGCGTGGGCATGCGCTGCGCGCTGCTCGGCTGCGGCGCGGGCTCCCAGCCGGACGGCCGGCCGCTGCTGAGGTGCTCCGGCGGCTGCCAGGGGCTGGCGCGCTACTGCGGCGCGGCGCACCAGAAGCGGGACTGGGCGTCCCACAAGACGTTTTGCAAGCGCTCGGGCAGCGCGGCTGACGCTGCCGGCGGCAGCGGCGCCAGGGCACGGCGGCCGTAGCACGCAGCGGCCTGGGAGCGATGCGGCTTTTGCTTGCGCTGTTGCTTCGCGCACACACGGCGAGCACCTCTCATCGCCCGTTCTGTTGCTGACTGGGGTTTGAGGCATGTGGTCCAAGCGCAAGACGGTTCGATTTGTTGCGCTTTCAGATCAGGTTGATGCTTCTGTTGGCACGCACACTCATCATGTGTGGGGGTTGCGCGGGCTCAAGAGGGGAGCAGGTGTGGTGGCGGTCATCAAACAATCAACAGCACATGGAGACATGCTTGTTAATCGTGGCCGTGCTGCAATATTTTTTTGAATGTATCAAGCAGTTGGGTGTACCCCTGTCCATGCTCAGCGGCCCTGTCGTGACAAGCCTCAAGCATCCTCGAGGCTTGTGCAGTGCTTCAGGAAACGCCACTGGCACTCTGCAAGTGTCAACTTCATGCCTGGATCGCAAGTGCAATGAAAGCTTTGCAGCAAAATAAGGAGGGGGTATACCAGGTGGAAAGATGGGACAAGTACAATCACCCAGGAAAGGCTCGCTCAGGTCATGGCTCAAGCCGGCTGCGCCGCCCTCCGCGCCTGCTCCTGGCGGCATGCGGCCTTGTGGTTGGGCCAAAAACCCTTGTAGCACGCGTCAGAGCAGAACCACGCCGCGCGGCAGCCGCGGCAGAGGTGCAGGCGCACGCCGCCGACGGCCTCCTGCTTGCCGCACGCGGCGCAGGTGGAAGCGTGCTGCCTGATGCCACGCTGGTGTGTGCGGGGTGACTCCTTGGTTGCGTTGCCCGAAGGGGGCCCGGAGGGCACAGCATCTGCAGGTGACTGCCTTTCGTCCTGCCGCGCCTGCTGCTGCTCCTCCTCGATCAGCCTTGCCGGCAGCGGCAGCAGCTGCCGCCTCTGTGCCCGCAACTGCTGGACCTTCTGCCGCCACCACTGCTGCCGGTCGACCTGCTGAGGAGTTTGCTGCACTTGTTCGCTGCTGAGAACCTGAAGCGCGGCACGCGCTTCGGCTGCTGCCATCGTCGCCGTCGCGTCCCCAGCCGCCGCGCTCAGTACTGCCCGGCTCAAAAAGCGCTCCAACGCCTCCTTCGCCTGGTGCACCGAAGCCTCCTTCGACCATTCCTCTTCCTGCCCTCCTCCAACAACCCCCCTCGCGTCCATGCGCTCACTCTGCTGCCCCGCGAATCCACCAGCCACGCCGCGGCCTGCACACTCACCCCTGCCGCTGAAGCCGCCGCCCTTGCTGCCGCTGCCGCTGCTGCCGCCGCCGCCGCTGCTGACACGGCTGCGGTCGCGGTTGTCACGGCCGTCGAGCTGCCACCGCCAGGCAGCCCAAACCTCAAGCTCGTCAATCAGTTGCAGCGCCAGTGCCGCATCGCTTTGGCTTGTTTGTGGGTTGAGTAGAATCGCCGCAACCGCCGCCAAAGCGCCAGGTGCAGCCGCCAGCTCGTTCCTGAAGGTGTGGCTGAAGCCGCAGAGCCACTGCACCTCCGTCAGGCCCCAACCCTTGAGCATAGCTTCTGCAAGCACGGCCCACGCCCGCGATCGGAGCGCCGCCGCATCGCCGCCGTCGGCAAGGCAGGCGTCGGTGGAGGCGGCGTTTCCGCTGGCACCCCCTGCCCCGCGCTCCTGCTCCTGCTCCTGCTCCTGCTGCCGCCGCTGCTGCCCGTACACCAGGGCTGCAAGCAAAAATGCAGCGTCGGTCTTCTGACTCAGGGTGAGCTGCGGCATCTCCAGCGCACGCACCGCGAGCGGCACAGCGCTGAAGCGCTGCAATGCCTCAAACCACGCCCAGTTGCCGCTGGTCCCGTTATTGTGGACGTGCTTGCCGCTGCTGCTGGTTTCGCGGCTGCTGCTGCTGCTGTTGCCGCCGCAGCTGCAGCCGTCGCTGCATGTTGGGCGTGCGGTTCCCTCAATGCCAACCTCTCGAATGCCCACTACAGCCATCGTCCACAACGCATGTGCGGCCAGCTCGGACCCCTGCCTGGGAGCACAGCCCTCTATTGCCGCCGCCGCCGCTGCCGCCGCATCCAGGCCCGCGCGTGCGCAGCCGACCAGGATCGCCGCCGCGCCAGACGCCGCCGCGACAGCGCTGCGCCTTGCCGGAGCACTTTTGTGCTCACAAACCACTACCTGCGACAGCCACTGCGCTGCAGCCCCCTGCAGATCCAGCACGCTGGCTTTGTGCCCCGCTGCCAATGGGCAGGGCTCGGTCGGCTCCGAGGGCGCCGGCGCGGCGCGGGCCGATGCAAGGACTGCCAGCAGCGCCCCCACGGTTTCGGGGCAGCACACGGCAGCCATTGCTTGGTCGCAACGCTGCATGCGCCACAGCAGCGCTTCCCACAGGTCCTCCTGCAGCCCCAGTGCCGCGCCCGGCCGCCGCGCGGCCGCCGCGAGCAGCGGGAAGAAGCGTGCCGCGCGCAAAGCGACCGCCGCGGTCACGGCCATGGCCACCGGCTCAAACGTGCGGAGGATGCACGTCAGGTGGAGCGCGAGCTGCATCCCCAGCTCAGCGCGCGGTCCAGCCTCCGCGAGGCAGTCGCACAGCACGTCGGCCGCGAGGCCCGCCGACTCAGTCATGACGCGCACCCAGGCAGCAACGGCCGCGCTCTCTGCCTCGCCCTGCTGGCCGTCGGCGCGCTTGATGCCCGTGGCGACCGCCGAAAGGCATTTCAAGGGGCTGACCCGATCGTCAAGGTTCTCCAGCGCGGCGGCAGCCAGCCCCGCCTGGAGCAGCGCCTCGACCGCGCCCGGCGTGTTCACGACGGCGGCGGCAGCCGCAATGACCTGCGCGTCGCCGCCTGGGACGCAGCAGATACACGTCAGCAAGCTGGCGAGGACGCACGCCCGCTTGCGCACAGCCAAGTCACAGGCGCTGCCTCGGTCACCGCCGCCGCCGGCGGCGGCGGCGGCGGCCGCGCGCACTACGGCCGCGGCGGTGGCGGCCGCGCACTCCGCAGTTCCGAGCGGTGCAAATCTTGCCCGCGTGTCGCCTTGGGACGCGATGATCCGCAGCAGCGTGGCTGTATTAATCTGCGCATATGATTTTCCATGCGCCAAGCGTTGAAGCGCGTCGGCGGCAGACAGGGGGAGGTGCTCGTGGAACGCGATCCGCTCCGAGCCTCCGCCGCATGCGCACTGCGCGCACCAGTGCAGGCCTTGCGCTGGCGCGGCCTGGTGGTGCTGAGGTATTTGCGTGCACATCTCTATATTCATGATAATGTCAGGAGCATAGTCTCCACTGCTGCTGGTGCTGCTGCTGCTGGTGCTGCTGCTTTTGCCGAAGCTGGTGCATGTGCTGCTGCTGGCGGGTGCGCACCGTCCCATCGCCTCTAGCAGCTGTACAAACACTGCGGGCTGGAGGGTTTCTGAACCCTTGAACAAGAAATTTGGTCCATCATGTAATTTTCGAAATAGTTTGTACGCGGCCTCGGCCCGAGATCGCGCTATGGCCACAGCAATTGCCGTCAGCGTGCGGTTCATGACAGCTGATGGTGGAAAACAAAAGTGACAGTTTTGATGTTGAGTTGTACGGTAGCGTTTGGGGAGTGTGCGTTGTCGAAATTTGAATTTTGGCTCCTCGACAGACAACCAGACGCGTCAGGAAGGGCTCCATAGAATCATAGAAGGGGCTCTTCTCCTGGCTTCTGGCTCTGGAAATCAATCCTCGGAGAATGCCTCCGGACTAGTAGCAAAGAGTGCGGCGTGCTGCTATTACTAGTGCGCGGGAGCGAGCGACAGCACGCGGCTGTCGGTTTCAGGCGCCTCAGCGGCGCGCTCGCTGCTGCTGCTGC